GGGGGGGGGGGGGCTGAAAATTGGGTGGTGAGCAAGGGGCCAGATTTGTTGTGAGCTACACAATAAGTACTGAGCCGTTATCGAGGATTACATGGCGAAAGGTTTATGCAAGAAAAATTACCGCAGAAGAGGCATCGACCAGAAGTAATATAACGTGGTACCTTCCTCATCATTGTGTGTTTAATAAACCTGAAAAAGTAAGAGTGGTGTTTGATGCTGCGGCAACGTTTCAAGACATGTCGCTAAATGAACATCTACAAGGTCCAGATCTTACGAACGCTTTGGTTGGTGTTCTGATACGTTTTCGCCAAGATAGAATAGCATATGCTGCAGATATTGAAGCTATGTTTCATCAGACCAGAGTTATTTCCAAAGATACTGATGCCTTAAGATTCCTGTGGTGGAGCGACAGTATTGATGATCCTCCAGAAGAATACCAAGGTCCAAATGCTCATGGCCGAATTTTGAGGGGAGATGTGGGAAGGTGTGCACCTCCCCTGAGATTGTTTTGCACCTCCCCTGAGAATTTTTACACCTCTAAAAAATCATGCACCTCCCCGGCCCTTGGGAAAGTTTCACTGATAGATCATTGTGTGATCAAGTGAAAATTTGGTTGCTTATTATTAAGATATTTGCCATGAGGCAGGTGTAGAATGCAATAGGATATTATTGTTCCTTACAAGGCATTAAACACTTAGGGTCTACACTTTCAACACTTCGCAAGAAAGTTTTCCTGTGAAATTGAAATGGTGATAGCCATTCCAGGGTGTTAGCTAGCCCATATACTGTCCATTTGACGGACTCTTCCCAATTGAAGTAGCTAAGGGGCTTTCCCAACTGGGTCTACTGGAAGATTTTCATTTTTTCTGATGTGAAAGTGCATTGCGTAAATGATCTTATATTATTATATCAAAGAACGTTTTATTTACTTTTTCCCATTAACTATTTCCTCAAAATGTATCGCGTTTCATTCATATTGGGCGTGTATTCACTGAAATGAAATGTACAAAACAAAGTGTAATCAGTGTGTGCAAACGTGTTCATTCACCGGAAATGAAATATACAAAAGGAAGTGCATCCGGTGCATTTTTCAGTGTTCATTCACCGGAAATGAAATGTACAAAACCAAGCTACCATTGCTTGCATCTAAGGAGAAACATGTTGGAAAAAAACACTATTTATTCCTACACAAGGACTTTGATCGGTCAAAAAAACTTTCCCAATTTACGTTTAACGGACAAAACCTTTTTTTCTGGCTAACACCCTGCATTCATCTCTGTGTCAAGTACCCTTTTAATGCGATGTTTTGAAAGAAACGTTTTAGTAATTGTAATGAAGGACAACATTGGATGAGTTTTACAGTCATATTAAATTCATAAATACACTGATACATATATGTACACCACATGTATAACTTTCCATGGGGGTCGTGAGCTAAACCGTTGCACCTCCTCTAAAATTTTTTCCACCTCCCCCACTATTTTCACCAAAATCCGGCCTTGCAAATGCTGGTTCATATATTTGCAATTGGGGCAACCTCATCCCCATGCTGTGCGAGTAAGGCATTGAGACAGGTAGCAGACGACAACAAAAGCAAATTTGACCAAGAAGTAACCCGGACACTTCGCAGTCGACGACAATCTAAAATTGGTCTCAACAATTCCAAGGGCAATATGGTTAGTGGAACAGTTAACCAAACTATTGGCAGAAGGTGGTTTTCATCTCACCAAGTTTACCAGCAACAATCGAGACGTGTTGGCCTCAATACACCCTGACGAACGAGCAAATCCCACTCTCAATTTAGATTTGGACGACCTGCCCATCGAACTCGTGTTAGGATTGCAGTGGGATACAAAACCGGACACATTTCAGTTCAAGACTATATCAGTCAGTAAACCTTACACCATGCGTGGAGTCCTCTCAATTGTGAGTTCCCTTTACGATCCTCTTGGTTTCATAAGCCCGCTGACATTCCTCGTCAAAGTCTTGCTACAAAATCTGTGGAGGATTGGAGTTCAATGGGATGAGGGGATTCAAGATCCGTATCTTCTCCAATGGCAGAGATGGATTGTAGAATTGCAACACATTCGCAGTATCAAGATACCAAGATGTTTCCTGATGATTCGCAGTACCAAGTATACCAAGATGATTCAACTTTGGCACCTTGGTCGAAGTTCGATTACATCACTTTTCTGACGCATCCAAGATCGTTTGTGCCGCTCTTACCTTTCTACGAATGCTGAATGATTCTGCGCTAATCTATTGTGCTTTTGTCATTGGAAAATGTCGTAATGCACCTGTACGAGAATGGTCAATCCCTCGTTTGGAACTACAAGCCGCAGTTCTGTCTTCACGGTTGCATAAGTTAATCTACGACGAGCTACAATTTCGAGGACATTCGTTTGGTCTTATTCTATAACGACGTTACAATATATCAAGAATGAAAGACGTCGATTTGGACACACGTTCCAGTTGATCTTAATCCTGTCGACGATGGTTGAAGAGGAATGAAAATCAAAGCCTTTAAACCTACGTGTTGTTGGTGGTGGACTGGTCCATTTTTCCTCTGGCAAGCTGACGAATGTTGGCCAACTCAGTATGTAGATGACGTTCCAGATAACGATACGGAACTCCAGACAGAGAAGCGCGTGATGATCATTTCTCCTAGCGCTTCCTTAGATCAATTCCTACACCAATGTTCTTCATGGCCGCGTCTTCAAAGGCAAATGGCGTGGTTGTTGCGTTTTATCCAGCATCTCAAGAATCCAGTTATTCCCTCGGCAATGCCACCAATGATCACCTTTGCAGAGATGCGAGTTTCATCTTTGAAGATAGTCCGCATTATACAACGTCAGTACTTCCCAAACGAACTTGAGTTACTTCGAGACGGCAAACAATTTATGGCGGACCCCCAAGTGAAAGATTGATTCCGCATGAAGCTCCCTTTACCTATACTGTACACTGGAATTGATTTCTTCGGTCCCTTCCCGGTCAAAAGAGGATGTTCAACAGAGAAAGTATACGGATGTATTTTCGTTTGTTTCAACAGTCGAGCAATTCATATAGATGATGCTAGTTTATTAGAAGCTGACGTGTTCATACAAGCGTTAAGATTTATCTCCAACCGTGGTTGTCCAAAAATTATTTGGAGTGATAATGGTACAAACTTCACTGGCGCAGAAAAGGAGCTTCGTCAATCCATTAGCAACTGGAAGAAGGAAACAATCCAGAATGAGATGAGATCGAAAGAAATTGAGTGGGAGATTTGTCCAATTTCCAAATGGCGTTTTCAACCTCCAGCAGCTAGTCATATGAGTGGAGTCTGGGAACGACTCACGCGCAGTGTAAGAAGATCAATGAAGGCGTTAATCGGTCACCCTCATGCCTTTCTGAGTAAAGAAACATTGCATGTGTACTCTTTTTGCTGAAGTGGTTACCATCCTCAACAGCCGCCCACTCTGCCCTAGCAGTGAAGATCCGAACGATTTGGAACTCCTTACGCCAAACCATTTATTACTACAACGTCGAAGTCTCGTTATTCCACCTGGCATGTTTATCGAAGAATATCTACACTCCCGTAAAAAATGGAGACGTGCCCAGTTTTTAGCTAACTGTTTTTGGACCAGATGGATGAAAGAATATTTGCAAATGCTACAAGAACGCCAGAAATGGATTCGGGAAAGAAGAAATCTGGAAGTCGACGATCTTGTGTTGGTAGTTGATAAAAACATCCCCCGTGGACGTTGGTTACTTGGCCGATGTATGAAGGTATTCCCTGGTCGTGATGGTCGTGTCAGGACAGCCGAAATAAAGACAAAGGAATCCAGTTTGATTCGCCCGATCTCAAAATTATGTTTGTTGGAAGAAGCTGGAGTGCTGGACAACCATGATGTATCAACTTATACTGAACTAATATTTTACTAATATTTTACTTTAATGAGTGAGTAATTAAGATAGTGAGTGACATATAAGTCTAAGTTTAAGTTATTGAACACTGAATGAACCCTCTTCATTCAGGGGGCCGAGGATGTTGTGGCTAATTCAACAACAATGACTATTCTCTTTAGTTATGCATGATAAACACTGAAATATTTAATTAAGTGTATAAAGCCAACACCCAGACTCAAAGCAAGAAAGTATTAAGCATCGTCAAGCGCTGTAAGCCGTAAGGAAACGGTTTTAACAAGCAAAGCAAGTAACTAAGTAAACCAAAGGCAAAGCCACATTTTCGCACATTGGTAAGTTTATCTATTGCTATAATGTACGTGTGTAAATATTATATTTATGTGTAAAGACTGTAAGATAATTGTAATGCATGTTTCCTGTTGGAATTTTAGGGAATTTTTCACAGCAACCATTAAAAGCTCTTTGTGCAGATAAATGTATGTACACTGTATCTATTTTTATGCACTAATCAATTTGAAGGTGTGACTTACTGTGACACCCCCCTGCATGAGCATGATGTGAATCAGAAATGTCATAGACTTACAGAACCACTTAACACGAATCTTACAGAAGCATGATATAAAAGTTGCCCAACAAACCACTTCGAACCCTACAACAGCATTTTCCCTCCCCGAAGTATATAGAGTAACCCCTGAGAAAGGAACCAATGCTATCTACCAGATCCCGTGCGCAGACTGCTCTTGGAATTACATCGGAGAGACAGGACGGTCGTTTGAGATAAGGAAGAAAGAACACATCAGGAATACAGAGAGATTTGAGAAAAATTCAAATGTAGCCAAACATGCTTGGGATTTGTCACACAAAATTGATTTTAAGAGAGGGAAAATTATAGATAAAGAAAAGTATCAGATTAGAAAAACATTAGAATCTTGGCATACAGCTGTTATAGATGGTGCAGACAATATTTCAAGACACTTACCAGAACAATATTCTATTCTTCTAAAGAAACACTAATTACATTCCTTGAATACTTTGATATTTTGCATGCTCGCTAATTACTTAGCTGCAGTTACGTCATCGTATAGACTTTAATATAAATAGGTCACTGTGTTTTAGTTAGTTACCCGTTGAAGGCTATAGGTCTGATAGCCGAAAGCTCGTCGAATAAAAATATTTGGTCAGTTTCCAATTTAATATCAATAATGTTTATTGCAAATGATCATCTTCATTATCATTATCATTATCATGCTAAACAAAGAAAACCCTGGGAACAAGGATTCAATAAGGGCATATTTATATTATCAATAACAAATTCCTCAGATTCAGTAAAATGTCCTTAAATGTAGGGGCAGGACCACTGGACAAGACGTACTGACCTAGAGGTCTTCAGAATTACAAAAGTTATAAGTTCTCAAAATTGTTGTCTCATTTGGGAATTGGGATCTTGAGCAGCATCGTCAAAAAGAATTTTGCATTGCTGGTCTACGAATATCTTGATTAGAAAATTTTTGCAGTACTGTTCTGAATGCCTAAGATTGTATTTCCTGCGTTTTTGCATAAATAGCAGCTAATTTGACTGAATTTTTTAATATTATTTCAATATTTTCAAATATTAGATAAAAGCTTAAAATTCCTTAGAAATTCCTTAAAAAATTCATTTCCGTAAAAATATCAATAAAGAGGATCAAAATTTCCTCAGTTTAAAGAAAATTTCCTTAAAAGTGAGAACACTGATTGCACCCGCTTTACGCATATTTATTTGATTCACATACGCCAGACTACGAATCAAACACACAACAAATCTCAGCGTGTAAACGTGCCTTTAAACGACCTTCAATATCGTTCACGTGATTTTGCACTGGTATTCTTGGACAGGACGTGTATTTTTGCCCATGCATCATGCTGGGATATTGCATGCTTGTGGATTTTTTTTTTTTTGAGATGTGATCTTGTAGTTTAGTGTCAATAAGTTCAATAAACTATCTATTTATCTATTCATTGCGTCCAATTTTGTAAATAAAAACATTTTACTTCAGAGAGAACATCAAGTGTATTAATAGTTTTCTTCATTGTTTTATTTGACAGCCAGTTAATTTGCATGATGCTGACATCGTTGAACCTTATTGGACCTGCAGTTTGGAAGAAGGACTGGCTTCGAAGGAACTTTTTACTCCACGTACTATTGAGAGTATTAAGATGTTTGTAAAACGCCTTAGACCAACAATGTTAAAACGTAAAGCTCGAAGAATTCACAACACATTGCTACCAATCCCTAGCGAGAATTTTTGTCAGCCTATTGAGGATTATAGAACATTAAATGGTGACGGTTTAATATCTGTTTGTATGAGAGTACACGACAAAGCTCGTCGTCATGAGATAGCTGTGTATGATCATGCGACGGAAGAATTAAAACAATTGGGTTCTATCCCACGTCATCATTTTGAAATGAGTATAGATGCCTCCGTTTTCTGTATGGATGACCCCAAGTTTGTCGAAGGCGTGATTGGTGCAATGACTCATGATGCACAATTTGTTGCTATTTTTGCTCACAGTAAAAATCTACGTGTTGTAAGTGTATTCAGCATCCCCAATACTGTCTGCTTGTTTGAGAAAGATCTGTCCCAAAGTGAGTTCTTTCAAGATTGTAAACCCACAGGAGTTGCACTAGTACCCAGTGGTCGCTCGAGATCTCAATTTAACATTGCTGTGCTAAGTTACAACATGGAAGTGCGTGTTTGGAACACTGGAGATTGCATGGGAAGAATTGTTAAATTAGGGGCAGAGTCAGATCCAAGTTTTGGGTTGGGTGTTGCTGTCATAAATCACAGAGAGAGTTTCCTAAGATTCAGTCCAGACGGTCGATACTTGTGTGTTCTTGCTTATGTAGAGTCAATGTGCATATGTGTAGTGATGGATGCTATCAGTCTACAAGCTCTATTTAGAATGCCATATGATTTCACATATGGTCATTTGTGTTGTATCTTTCCGTGTTTTACTGCCTGTGGTTCACGTTTCGCCATGTTTACGCCACAAGAGGAAAATTATTATGAGATTGATAATTACCAACTTCATTTCTTCGAAATCCCGCAAACAATGCAGTGTTTAAAAGATTTGTGTAGATTGTCAATACTCCGGGCTGTGGATAGATCAAATTTGAGCAAACTGCCTGTGCCCCAGGATTTGATTTCATTTCTGGCTGAAAGTGACCGCAACGTACCTGTATCAGAGAATTCAGAGAAAAACTGTCATTTAATGTAAACGTTTAAGGGTATTCTTGGTAAATGATTGTTAATCAATGGTAATTGGGAAACATGTGAGCGAAGGTCATGGAGAAGATGTGTCGAGAATTGAAGTATGAGTGCCTCGTATTTGAAATGTTGTATTGATATACAACCTTTACCTTAACCGCCTTTGAACACTCGGTCGGACTCGATACGTTCGTGTTACTGTTTATTTATGTGTTTTGGAAATTGGTTTTTTGCTAGTGTTCTTTTCATAGGAAAATGAAATTTGCATGCTTACGCAATAATTTGCAACGTGATGCGGACAGTTCACCTAAATCAATGCAAATATAGCATGTTACGTACTTTATTTTAATTTTAAAATGATGCATGATTTAGCATTGAAACGTCATTGTCAAATAAACTTAATATCGTTAAAGCATTATTGTACTTGTAATGATAATTCAGATTCAATGGAATACTAAAACTAAGCACGAACAGTCGTTACAACGGAAAACACTCTGGGTAAAAATTTCCTCACTGGTTAATCTAAGTAGTTTAGTTTAATGAAATATGTCACATTACATTACATTACAAATTACAAATTACAAATAAATACAGGACTTGCATGCAACACCTGAACTAACGATGACACAAAGACGGAGTGACAGGAGAGGAAAACAGGACTAACGTCCCAATTGACAATCCTCCCCCTTTATATACTACAAAAATATAAAATACCTTGTGAACACAATACACAAGAGTATAGTTTACGGTGGACAATACAAAGCTAGCTTATTTCTGTAATGACGAAGAAGGAGGTTTTTGAATTCGGTAAGACTGGATGCATGTTTTATGGAATGAGAGAGCTCATTTCATATCTTAACTGTCCTAGGGAAATATGAATTTATAAAGTAATTCTGGCGATGGGATGAATAGAAGCGGTAATTTGCCTCATCAAAGTTTCGCGTAGCATAGCCAGACGAGGTTGGTTGTAATAAGTTCTGGAGGTTAGCGTTAATGAGACCAGTCTTAGACTTAAAAAGGAGAATTAGATCTATTGTTTCTCTGCGATGTTCCAATGGGAGTATGTTCAGCATGGCTAATCTTTCCGTATAGTTTACATTGCTTGGGTAGTCCAAAATAAACTTTGTGGCACGACGCTGTATATTTTCGATAAGTTTCTTGTGCTTTACTGTGTAAGGTGATCATAGACTACTCGCGTACTCAAGTAGAGGTCTAACTAATAGGAGCAGTCTAATGGAACGGTCGTGGAAGTCTTTGGAGACGCGCTTTACTAGGTCAAGGTTTTGTTTGCCTTAGCACACATCTGTTCAATGTGTGCCCCCCATGATAAATTTCTTGTAACAATGACACCAAGATCTCGTGTTTCAACAGGAGCGTCCAATTTATGCCCAGATAAATAATATTCACGCAGAAGAGACCCAGCAGCATGTTTGAGGTAACGTTCCTGGTTAATTTAACCACAGTCCTGGTTAACTTTATCATAGTTTTGGCCAATTTAACAAGGATTCCTGGTTAATTTAACCACAGTCCTGGTTAACTTAACCAGATCGTGTTCAGGAAGTCTTGGTTAATAGTCCACCAAACATAATCCCGCCCAGAAGTGCAGAATGCACCGCGAATTACTTTTTTTTTTATAACTGTAGTTGTGTGTATAATGGTTAATTTATATTTACTGTTATCGTATTATGATGCATCGTGTTCTTTCTATTTACTTTCCATCCATCTATAAATAAACCGTTGGTAATGTCGGTCAATTTCCATCGACGTCGGGCAAATTTTTGTCTGCACCCCTAACTAAACTCCCACCCTAGCGGCTAGCGTACGACTGTAGCGTGCACATAGGTTGTGTTGCATCAGGACTTCATGCAACCGCCTACGTACGCTACACGCCTGTGAATGAGCGGCTTCTAATCAGCAGTGTAAAGTTAAGCCGTCTAATTCCCCACCCAGGAATCAAACTCAGAATCTCGGGCTTCACGTGGTAGTGCCCTTGACTACTAGAACTCCCGCAGCCATACAATAAAAAGTAAAGGAACAGAAGTCGCGAAGAAACATTGGGGAGATTTGAGCATAAAAATATTCCAGCATCTATAAATAAAATTAAAATTGTGCGAAATAAAAGAAACAATTTGTCATGCAAATAATTACGTTTTAAGTCTGCGCTACAATTTTAAAACACCCACGTATGTGCCATAAATCTCCAGTTGAATGTTTTACGAAGTATATGCAAATTACTTTTTGAAATGACATATCGTGGCATGATTAGTGAGTGGTGTCCGTTGACAGAGAAAAATCTCCTGATTAACGATTTTGCGCTGAACCTGTTATTCTCAATAAGCAAGCGTTGTAACGGCCCTGAAAATGACTAGGAATACTGAAGAGAGAATTGAACTTCTTGATCAAGTTATTGACGCAGAGAATAACCAGGAAGGGAGAATACCGCAACATACACCGAAGACATTCATATTCGGTAAAAGCAGAGAATTTATTTTGCTGAGATGCTTACTGAGAGGACTATCGCTTTGGTATCCAAAGTCAAGTTGCTGTTTGAGTCGATATTTCTATCCTGGATTTGTCAGCTTCTTGCTCGCGTGTACCACCGCTTGTTATGTAGTGATCTTCGCCTTAAAGGAAGATGCTGATGTAACATACAACGTATTGGTAGTTGTAATATTTACTGGTGGATACTTTGGTCACCTTGCCGCATCATTTTGCCTCCGACCCAGTGATATTGAAGATAACATGATATGTATTACTTTGGACGGGTCACAGCTCAAGAAATTCCGAAAATTACTGAAATACTTTAACGCTAGAATGGTAATTTCTACAGCGGTGTTTATGGGTTCGATTTGTCGACTTTTCATTGCTACGACGAATGGTTCTGGCGTGGTTACAACGTATCTAGTAGAAAACGTTTATCCTCATCATGATGCATACAGACAGTGTTTGCTTTGTCTGGTATTTGTTGCCCATGTTTACATGTTGGGAATGTATGTCGCAATGGTATGGATCGTTGACTTACTTCAACTCATGAGCAATGTCCGCCTTCAAGATCAACATCGCAAGTTCACGAAGTGGACTGAAGGAGCAGAAGCAGCCATAAATGATCACATACGTAACTATACGTCAAAGGTGAAGAAATGCTGCCGTCGTCTCAAATGGTGGTTTTTAATTCACAACATTTCTCTTATTATAATAGTTCCATAATTGCAATTGGAAATTTAGATCTAGCTCTCTCTAATCGACAATCCATATTTTCTGCTGCATTTGAAATTGCAGGCATACTATTTGTATGGGCTCTCCCGCTTTACTTTGCTGAACAAATTGAAAAACATGACAAAACGTTTTGCTGTATAGTGAACAATTTTTATCCCGAACAACTCTTCTCTGCTAGCATAGACTCTCAGGAAACAGTTATTTTAACCATGGATAGCGTCCATAACGCGGAAAACTTTCAGAATTTAACCTTTATCCATCGCGCGGAAGTTCAGTTACTTGTTGATTATCTGAAGAACATTAGGTCGGGATTTCAATCAGTTGGTTATGCAATTCAGTTAAAACTTTCGTTTATTTCCACAATGATTTCTTTAACTGTATTGATTTTTAAGATCAACAATGGGATGAATCTTTAACAGATTAATAAAACGTTCGAGTTAATTCACAACTGATATAGCCCAACAAATCAGTGGTGTAGCCATATTTATTCAGACAAGGTCTCTTCTGCTCAGGCGTTCACACTGTTATAATGCGTATTGGTGTGTAAGCCAGTAAGGGTAGAAGAGTTGGTAGAACAGTTACACGTATAACACTTACATGAGGGTCTGAATGGGGTTAACTGACTACTGACATTTGCCTGAATTTTTGACTGACAACTGACAAAATATCCTAACTGACTACTGAGAAATG